CACATTAGTGCGTCATTCCCCCGCAAGGGGAGTGATGCCTGCGCAGAGACCCCAGCCCCCAACTGGTCCACTGTTCAGAAAAGAGTGGTCCCCAACCTTTTTAGCTCCACAGCTAAAGGAGCGCGGTGGGGTGCACATGCGGAAAGAGAGGCAGAGCGTTGGTGCGTGCTCGTGTGCAAGCGCAAATGGGTTGTGCGGGGGAGTGCATGCGGAGGTGGAACGCTTGTGCGGGTGCGCTCTCATATGCAGGCACAAATGGGCTGTGCAAGGGGAGTGCGTGCAGGGATGAGGGGGAGGTCTCTCCATGGCCCAGTCGTGCAGGGCTGAGGGGGAGGTCTCTCCATGGCCCAGTCCGCCTCAGGCCACGGACCAGCGCTGGGCCGTGGACCGGGGGTTGGGGACCTCTGGTCTAGAGGATGGAAATGTACATGACCCTACAGGTGTACGTTCTCTCACACTTGTCAAGAGTGTCTCCTCTAGACAACTATCAGAAACATGGGAAGAGGATATATGAGTCCGTGATACATCTTTCTTTAATATGTGTCCTGAACATACCAGCCAGTTCTTTGGTGATAATATCCTCGGCTATCTATAGATGGGTGTTGTACCAATTACTGTATATGCCCTTCTTAGCCTTGGCATTGGCTAAGTCTTAGTTCAAGTTACTCCCAGCCCCATAACCAACTTAAAATTAGCTGTGTGTCTTCTCTTATGTCTTGAGCTGACTGAATTCTTTAGGAGGTGCTCTTCCAAGTGATCATTACATTCGTCAGTTGTAAATGGCATGTTTGGTTCCAGTGGTGAATAGAAATCCTCCATATTCTTCAACGCATTAAGAAGGAGCATGTTTGAAGGAATAGTGTGGCTATTCGGAGAAGGGAGCTGCTTGAAAGAAGCTTGGTGATGAAGATTGGTGGGACTGTGTTTCTCTTGTAAGAAAACATAAGCCAAAACTTGATATTAACTTGGTTACTGTGGGCTTTGGCAGGCAAGAGTCTCTCTCCAGATGCCATCCAGAAGGCAGATTTATTTGGGGGCACAAAAATTGGGAAACATCTTTTGGCAGCTACTAAAAAGATCCTGGCTGTCATCACCTATGGCAGAGGAATTGACAGGTCTTTTAAAATAAGGAAAAAATAGATGCTTCTACACACATGAATTTTGGAGTGTTTGCACCTTACTTACTCAAAGCCAATCCTTGATTTCGGAAGATGAATTTTGATGTGCCTTCAGTTTTAAGCTCCCGTGAGAACTTCTGGCTCATGGTTATTTTCTCTGCATCCCACTTCACCCCCATGGTTATATGTGGTAACATATTTTACTTTTGGAAAGCAGCTGTGTGTGACTGACACAATGCTAAATCTAGGGTTCTGCTTAGGTTTTGCTCATATGGAAACTTGTCAAAAGTCAAGTGTAAAGCTCTTCTGGGGACAGGAGTGAAATTGAGAGTTGTTTATGCAGATTGCTCAAAAATTAGGATTTGGCAAAAACCCCACTTTGCTTGAGTTATTGCATCTGATCAGAGGCAGTAATAAAATGACGTGGTTTCAGCATTGAAGGAGTACTGTTGAACCACTCGCTTAAACCCTCTGATAAGCAGGAACATAAAAACCACTTTGAAATAATAAAGACAAGAGTGGGGGGGGGGGAAATCAACAAAAAAAAGTGAAGGGGAAGGGTGCGGCCCTTTCTGCCCAGCTACAGAGTTTCCTGTTTGATATTCCAAAGGGAGACTCTGTTTTTAACCCACGCATTGTGTGTGTGCGCGCGTGCGCTCAGTCTTTTCATGTTTGTCCGTTTTCTTGACTGCTGCTTGCTTTTTTTTATTCGGGTAAAAAGCGGCTCAGACCCTTCAGCCGAGAAATGCCAGTGGTGGTTGTAAAATGCGTACATCAGGCATTTCTAACCAAGCTGCACATTTGATTGCAGAGAGCTGGAGATGGCCCTGGCTCCTACTCTGCCCACAACTTAAGATGGGAGATAATTATGTCACTGCTGCAGTAAACAGCCTACAATAATTATAAGTTCAGAAGTCCTTGGAGTCAAAATGTGTGTACTACTGGCCTTGTGCACTGTGGTAAACACAAGCCTGCTTCCCTTTCAAGTGGTACCATAGTGTTAGTCTATCAAGCGAGTCAGGGACTTTTAAGCTCTGTGCTCTTTGGTGAACTCATATGATGATGTAAACAAGGCTTTCCTCATTGTCCAGTCTTTCTGCAGTACATTTAGAATCCAGGCCAGGACCCATATTCTTTTCAGTAAGGTTCAGTGGGGGCGGGGAGGTATTCTTTGTGGTTCGGATGAAGACTTTGGGTTTTGGGACACCTGTGTGTGAATTCTTGAGCACACTTCACAAGCTTCTGGAAAATAATGCACCTCTGAGAAAGAATGTGGATTTGTTTGCACAGTCTTGTAGAAAGACCCCATGAAATTTCTGAGGAAAACTTGCTTTGCCCTTTTTTGGGATTGGAGCTCTCAGAATTCTCTAGGCAATGTGCCCACTGGAAGTCATTTGATGTGAATATAAAATTTAAATGATCAAGGCAAGAGTCTTTAAACAACAGTGCCAGCCCATATATTGTGCAGGAAAGACATTTTGTAGAGAGTGTCACTTTTGAGTACCGGTTTTGCTTTGAAAATAGCTGTGATTATTACTTGGGTACACAGGGGGTGGAGAGAGAGAACAGAAAGGGATATTTTACTAGGCTGGCCGGGAAGATGGGAATTTTTGGCTGATGCAACTGAAGGGTGTGAAGATGGGGAAAGCTGCTCTTGATGTAGTGCCTACCTATAGATTCTGTCATGTTAGAGTCATCAGAAGTCTTAGGGAGATTTTAAAAGATGTGCATCCTTGGATATATATGTAGAACTCCCAAGTTACAGGAATTGTACTATAAACCTCTCTGTATTTTTGAGACTGTAGTTGTGGAACAGTTTCATTTACTTCTATTGTGCCTCCTTTTCTCTTGAGGGAGTATCTGTTTTATCTAAAGGAGCCTCATGGAGCAGTGGTTAAATTGAAGTACTGCTGTTCTGTTCAGTCCCAGGTAACCAGTTTGAGGTTCACTCAGCCTCCTGTCCCATCCTTTCAAGGTTGGCAAATTGAGTACCCAGCTTGCTGGGGGAGCAATGTGTAGCCTGCATAATTAAATTGTAAACCGCCTGGAGAGTGCTTTATGTACTATGGGGCAATGCATAAGCATCATTCTTTGCTATTTGATTAAACTATCCCTGCTTTCTTTTGCCCTGTTTTCTTTGCTGAACTGAGAACATTTCAGCTGGTTGACATTTATTTTTTCAGTGGAATTACCATGATTTTTGATTGCTTTTTTGTAATATCTCACAAACAAATCAGTGGTTACTTCTAAAGCAGGGACCAGAGACCAATCTCTTTAAAGAAACATTTTTGTTGTTTAGTCGTTAAGTTGTGTCCGACTCTTTGTGACCCCATGGCCCAGAGCACGCCAGGCCCTCCTGTCTTCCACTGCCTCCCAGAGTTGGGTCAAATTCATGTTGGTAGCTTCGATGACACTGTCCAACCATCTCCTCTGTCGTCCCCTTCTCCTCTTGCCTTCACACTTTCCCAACATCAGGGTTTTTTTCAGGGAGTCTTCTCTTCTCATAAGATGGCCAAAGTATTGGTCCAGCTCTCACTTCCATACATCGCTACTGGAAAAACCATAGCTTTGACTATGTGGACACACGAGTTGATTGTTTTTTTCTTTCATTCACCTTGCCTGATAACATTGCAGTTTGTTTTGCTTTTTAAGTGTATTCCTCAGAACCAGGTAGTATATTCATTTTGTGGTGAAACTGAGAATCAAATTCCCTTCATATTAGCTCTCATGTCATATTTTGTTAACACGACTTTCCAGATCATCACCACATAAACTAATGCACACGTCATGTGATACTACTGCCAACCAATACGGTTCAAGCTATCCTGTTGATACAATGTCAAATCTATCAAATTGGTTTTAAGGTAGTAACTATACCAATTAGCTTTATGGTAGTTATTACATTGGAAAGGTAGCATCTGAATTGGGTCTCGGTGTGACAGTTTGGACAGAGTTACCCTCATGATTAAAATCTCAATAATCAAAATGTAAGCAGCTCAAAGTGTGTCTGATATAGATTGTGATGCACACCTTATTGGCGCTAGTAGTGATATCTATATGCAACACATTGTTCCTGGTTCTAGACAGATAATTTCTCCTTCCCACCGATTCAAACCTTGATCTTATTGGAGTGACAAATAATGAAAGCAGACCTTAGAAGATAATGATTTTTGAAGAATGTTTATGAAATCATCCCAGAATCTTAGCAGAATAAATCTCTCCATTGTTGATACTGTATTTGGCATCTGTTAGAGAAAGCTGCAACTTCACTGACCACTTTTTTATGCAGAAAGAAGACATTCTCTGCTGGTCTGAGCTTAAAAATAAAAATTTATTCAGCGTGGTTGGATGATTTCTGATTTGCTTCCAAATATGAGCCTTGGAAAATATCTTAGAGACTTTGTTAAGTTCACCAGTTGTCTATGCTAAAATGATACTGTTTTTTGAAGGTTATACTGTGCGTAAGTTTGTCTGCCATGCCTTTTGGCCAGTGAGCATTTACAGGACACTTACCAATGAAAACTGGAAATCATACATATATTTTAAGCGTTAAAATGACTTGAAGGATACTTTGTTTTCCATGGTGTGTACACATAATTCTTTCATCCCATTGCCACTTATAGTCCAACTGGTTTTGCAGGCTTTTCAAACAATACAAAACTCACAAAGTGTAAAATTGAAAAGTGAGATGATTGTATACACTAGAAGTAGCAACAATCCTCCTTTCCATAGTCATCCAAATTTGGAAAAAAAATCAACAATCTGCCAGTATGCTGTGTTGAGTATGCTACAGTTTACTGGTCAGCTTAGGGCAAACAACACTGCAGCTGTATCGCCTGACACCTTTTTTTCTCCCTTTTTCTTTTGGTTTGTTATTTCCAGGTCTTTGATTTTACACTTGAAAAAGAAGATATGGAATGTTTGGAGTCCATGAACATCGACAGAAAAGTGATCCATCTCACGTATCCGTTATGGAAGGGATAATTACAGATTGGAGTACCTAAAACAAGAAGACCTCTAGTCTGCCAAAGGCTGCCTTTGTGGTTTTGCTTTATTGCAGTCTGAAGTGTTCGAAATGACACTTGTTGAATACTGCGTGCACAAGCTCATCTTTCTGTTATTAGCAGATTATTTCAGCAATCCACTGTTTCCATCCACCACCTTAAAAAATTTTCGGGAAATTGTGGGTCATGCTTCATCCCAGCTTGATCTGGATAAAAACGTCACTGCTGGAAACAGCTACATCCCTGAGATGCTGGCCATGTGCAAGGCAAATGGACTTTGCCATTGGGCCCTGGTAGAAATTAGCTGGCCTGGTTAGCTTGAGGTCTTGGCTGCATATGATTTTTGCCTGAAAGTAACTAAATCAGTGTGGAACCAGATACAGAGTTTACATGATTGCAATCCAATTTTACTGGCAATAAAATTATTTTAATTCATAGAACTTCCTTTATTAGAGTTCTTTTAATTCTAATTCTTGTAAGCCAAAAAAAATTCTATTACACTAAGGTTCACACAAGGCAAAATATAAGGGAAAAAGCCTCTGTGTGCCTTCAATGGTCATAGACTTCCAAAGCAATTATAAGGAATTATAGCCCCAAATCATTTTCTGGACAAAGACAGAGTTGCTATCACTCACAGCAGTGTAGTGCCTTGTGATGCTGGAGAGAAGAATTTAAAGAAAAAGGAATTGCTTCTATTAATTTCCTTGTTTCTTTTAGTAAAAAAACAGGGAACATACTCTCCTACTCTAGTTGTGAGTGAGTGATGACAAGTCATGGACTGGAAGATGCACTTGACCATGTAACAAAGGGATAGGGGTGCTTACTATGAGCCTCATGATGTTTTGGACTACAATTCCCAGAAGGTTTGGCCAAAATAATCAAGGTTAAAAGAGAAAGGAAATAGTAGTCCAAAAACATCTGAAGGGCCAAGAATCTCCAAGCCTGCTGTAACTGTTTTGAGGAACTATAATCGTTAAAGCTGCTATGGGGGCTTCAGGCATTGACATCTTAAGGAGAACATACCTAAATCAGACCATGGACATGCATGGATTTTTTAAAAAATAACAGTTCTTGGATCTTACTCATTCAGTCCCAATGTTGAAAAAAAAGTTAGCTGTTGTACAATTGAGGAATAGGGTCAACTTGGATATAGTTGCTCTTGTGCTCCAGATATGTTTTTGCAAATAGCCAAACACACACACACACACACACACACATAACGGATTTTATCAGAAATTCCAAACTCTACAACAGAAATGAGGGATGTGACAAACAAATGGTTGTATCAATAGCTAAATATTGGTTCTGCTCACCTTATAGAGTACAACCACATAGTTTTTAGTACAGTATTTCAAATGTTCAATTGTTTTAATACACCTCCACAAACTGGTACATTAGGCCCATCTGTGGCTTGGAGTTTACATATTTCCAGATTCTGTTTATCTATTCTCTACACCCTCCCTTTGTAGAGCAGTTGCATGAAACTGAAGTTTTTGGTAGGGTGACTAGATCTGAACCTTGGCAGTTCTAGTAACAGCCATGTCTTTCTGTGCTCCTTGTTTAGTTTAGACAGTTTGTGTGGTTTTGCTGGCACAGATGCAGATAGCTAGATCCTCAGAAGTTGGTGTCTAGTAATATGCTAAAATGAGATATGTTGTAAACTTTTAACGATTGATGCCGAATGAGCCTACCCAACCCTTAATTGACTATAGAGGCCAGGCTCTCCTACCCTTAGGTGAGACCTATTTCCTGTTAGCTTATCGGGGGGAATATATGAAAGTACTTCTACATTGGCCCCATCCTTATGGAATGCCCTGATTCATGATGTCCACACTGCTTCCATAGTAATTATTTAAATCAGGCATAAATCATAATCATCACACGCTAGAACAAAAGTTTATGGGGATTGTGGGATCTTTTCTGAACTGAGAATTCTAATGCTTTGAAGAGAAGGTTCTAGGTTAGGGTTAAACATTCCCAATGAGAATTCCAGTCCCCATCCCACAGATGAAATTTCAGTTTCCCCCTCAGTGGGAACCAAGCTACTGACAACCAGACAACATTCACTACATTGTGGTTCACAGGAAAATGACAGAATGTTTCTTTTCCAATATGGTACACTAGAGATGGGGAAAAAGTGTTCCAGAAACATTTCCAAAAGAAATAGATTTATGGGGGAAAATTTTTCCCCATGATGTTGTTTGTTTATAAACAACAAGAATCTGTACATCACTGGTGAGTGAAATTTGGAGACATATTTTACAATGGTTTGGGTGACAACACTGAAAAATGTGTACATTTGGGTCACTGAAATGCCCCATACTATTGCATGAAGGATTTTCTAGGCTTTTAAAATGATGTAGGATACATTTTATTATCCTAGGTGTTTGAATTATCTTACTTTGTTTTTAACTCATTGGATTTTATATTTATTTTGTGATTGGATTTGGAGAAGCTTTGCTTCAAAAGTATGTGTAAAAATATTTTAAATGAATCAAATAAGTAAAATATTTGGCCCTCCATATGCAGTTGTATTGCAAGTCTTATCAGTCCTAGCCTGTGTAGCCAGTGGTGAAGGATAATAAAGGTTTATAGCCCAGCAGTATGAAGAAGGTCACACATATCTACTCCAGAAAAAAGCAAACTGTATGATATTCAGAAGTATTGCGGAGCTATTGCTGGAAACATGTGAAAGCCCAAGGACCATAGGAAAGAGCCAGGCACTGGCTGAAGTCTTGTTGCTTAACAAGTCACACTTAGGTAGGAAATGGTGGGGATTTAGTGAGTCACCTCCTCCATAAATTCCATTGATTGAAATAATACTAATCTTGCTGTGATTTACTTTAGTGCAGTAAATCACAGGAGTAGGCACTTTCCTATGATTCTTGGGTTTCACATGTTTCCAGCAATAGGTGTGTATTGCTTCTGAGTCAGTCCATTGGTCTTCTTTGTCTAGTACTGTCAACAGGCATGGAATTTTTCAGATTCTTTTCAGTATAGAGCCTAATGTGCAAAGAATCTACCATGGTGTACATGGTGGCTCTCAGAAATCTACTAGTCCCCCAACCCATTGTAATTGCTATGGAGTTTAGCAAGGCCCGCCCACTCTCCCCTGCAATGACAGCAGAGAAGATCATGCATCGTCACATTTCAGGTGTGTATCCTGAAACTCCTTTAAGGACTTTGGGTTGGTGGGTTGGTGGGTTGGTTGGTTGGTTGGTTGGTTGGTTGGTTGGTTGGTTGGTTGGTTGGTTGACAGGTGCTAGAATTCTCACTGGAAAATTCCTGGTGAATTGTGGTATTTGTAGTGAAACAAATCCTGAAATCCCAAGCCTAATTGTGAACTGATTGTCAAAAACTATCCAAGCTTTCGGGCCATATTCTTTTGTAGTTCTCTCTGAAGATGTTTGGGCTTGAACCTGTGACTTTCCAAACTACATCCACTCCCTCCCAAGGAGCAGAGGAGGACTCACTTAGATTGCATTAGATCCTTGGGGTATACAGTATAAATATATTTTCTTTAGAGGAAATTGGATTGTGTGAAGTTTGAGTTAAACTTCCTCAATTGAATGTAGGCATCATAGCAGCTGAAAAGCTAGCTGGCTTCAAGAGCCAACTTGTTCTTTACAAAACACTTAGCCCAGCTAAGGCAAAAAAAATCTGTAGAGACATGTGGGAAGGTCACAGTATAAAGAGGGTTCTGTATTCTTTTGGCCCTTAAAGATCAACATATCTTTGCTTGCCATGTAACTATGGCAGATCTGTACTTCATTTCAGGGATCTGTTACTATCACAGCAGGGTGAAGAATCTTGCCTTTCCAGTATTTTTAGACAGCTATAATCATCCTTGACCCTTGCTCATGCTGGCTGGAGCTGATGGGAGTTAGAATCCAGCAGCACCTGGAGATTTGTGAGGTCCTCATCTCTACTAGTTGATACCTGAGGAATAGAAGAAAGGGGACTTAAACAATGACACAATATGTTATAGCTGAAAGCAATCATGCTAATATTTCAGCATGTGAACAGTGCACTTCCTTTGCAATGTGTAATGCGGTTGATGCCACATTTTAAGGTCAAGGTTTGCATAATACGGAGGAAAGTGCACTTTAACATACAGTTCCTAGCCAATGTGATTAAGAAGGAGTTGGAGTTTTGGTGTTTATTTGGACCTGCTGTAGCAACTCTGATTTAACTATGAGAAGAACAAAGCCACCAAACCCCTCTTAAACAGCACTATCCGTGCATTATACCTTCTGATCTTAAGCTCTTATGGAATCTGCATCCAAGTTCATATGAAAAGGTACTGTATTTTAATACAAAGGTATTACTAAAAGCTCTTTTACAGAAGTGCAAATGATCAATACTTTCATAGGGTTTGCTGAGATATTTTTGTCCTACCTCTGTACTTTTCACACATAATTTGAATTGGAGATGTGTTTCTCTAGCTGTGTTTCTCTCTCTTAGAAGATTAGTGTTTCTTGGGTAGCTCAGTGATTTAGGTGGAGTCTGACTCCCCACCGTGCCTCCTTGATAGGAGCTGAACTCAGTGATCTATAGGGTCCCTCCCAGCTCTGCAGTTCTAAGATGATGATGATGAAGCTGTGTTTAGCGGTGACATCTTAAAGCAACTTTTCCCAACCTTGTGTGTTCTATCAGATCGCATCTTCCATACTCCCCATGCAGGCTGAGGGTGGCAGGCATTGTAGTCCCGCCCACCTAGAATGCACCAAGTTGGAAAAAAGTTGTCCGAGAAAATTCTGTAGTGCACAAGTAGACAACTTCTGGCCATCAAGATCTTATTAGGGAATCTAGCTCCTAAAAGCTCTAGACAGCATAGCCATCAAGGAGAGGGCATTTGAGTCCAATAAAACATGGGTTGCCCCTGTACAGTGCACCCCTGCTGCAGCACAACTGCATTCTTTTGTGGTGAACAGAAGAACCCACAGATAGACGTATGCTCATTTCAGATCAGTTCTTCCTTTGGTTCTGTCGTTAGTATAAATTCTCAGTTAAAGAAGTGAGGAATAAGAAAGTACCAAAGATTTAGAAGTGTTGTTATATTTAAGTAGCATTTAAATACAGTAGTATATTCAAGTTATATTTAGGTGTTTGTGTATAAGAATCGAACAGAACCAGAGACTACATTTAAAAAAGGACTAAGTGCCATTCTGCTTTATGTGCTCTGTTATCTAGTTTCTTCACTGCTTAGAATGGAGGTGCACCCATTTGCCTCTCAGTTACCCCTATAGGAGTGTGTCCTGCTGTTTGCCGGAATATAGCCTCTTGGATGCCTTTTCTGTCACAACATAAGCCTGAACTTGAATGCCATTATCTCAAAAATAAAACCTTTCTGTCCCATTTCCGAACATCTTGAGTCAAGCTATCTTCTCAATTATGGAAGCTGCTTGGACATATTGCTCCCCCTGAGTAGGAGATGCAA